CTGGTAGCCTCGCGCGCCGCTCTCTCCGGGCCACTCGCAGCCACGCGCGCCCGCGGCTCGCCTGTCACCTGCTTGTCAGTCCCGGGTCCCGGCTGCGGCGGCTGGCGGCACGCGGAGACGCCGGGCGGAGGAGGCGACGGCGACGGCGGGCGGGGGAGGGGGCGGGGGTGCAGGGGCGGCCCCACGGGCTGGGGGGGCGCGGGAAGCGCAGCGGGGTCCCGGGTGGGGCGCAGCGGGCCGCGGGGCTCCGGGTGCGCTCCCCGCACTACTCCAGTGCCATGGTGCGCCCAAGGAGCCGCTCGGTTTAGAGCTTGGGTTGGTGGCGGAGGGATACTCCGGCCGGGAGCCGCCTCACCCCTCCTCAAACTTCCTGACATTTGAACTCATTGGTGCGCCTCGTATCACTGCGCCGGGATGAGCCGGCTGCTCCTCGTCAAATAGTGCCGTCGCCGCCCCCCCTCCCCGCGGGAGGGATCCCTGAGCCCCCGGCCTGCACCCCGCGCCGCGCCCCGGCCCCGGCCAGCCATTCTGCCCACCCTTGGCAGAAGTTTGGGTAGCCATCGAAACAAACCCTGTGCCCCACCCCTCTTGAAAAATTGATTTGGGAGTTTGGGAAATCAGGCTTTCTTCTTTTTTTCTTTCTTGCCTTTTTTATTATTAATATTTTTGTTAAAAAAAAGAAGCTCCAGCGCTCAGAGGAATGGCCCCGAGCGAGGCCAGACTCTCCGGACGGCTGGGAACGCAGTGACTCTTCCAGAGGACTGTGCCAGGCAGGAACAGCAGCACCGAGACCCCGACTTGTTGGCGAAGGTAGGTCGCAGGGTCTGAGTTGGTGTCCTCCCCCCCTTCGTGAGGCAGCGCCTGCATCAGACAGCTCGGTACTCAAAGAGTGATGGCACCCGGGATCCAAGGATGGAGAACATCAAATGGTGAGAACTGCTGGCCCTGCACTCGCCAAAGAGAGCCCTGGCCTGGGGACAGAGCGGAAGGGCTGCAGTTTGAATGAGGAGTCCTAACACCCTTGGCCTGGCAGAACTAGGGCAGGAGGGTAAACTGAAGGGGCCCCCAGATCCTGAATGGGAGACATTGAGTGGACAAGGACCGACAGGCCAGAGTTGAGGCCAGGAGAGTGTAAGAGGATCAACAGCACTGGAAAGGGGGTCTTGGTCGCCGGTGGGGGCAATGGGCGAAGGCTGGGTCTCCCAGGGCTTAGAGTATGAGGTGTAAGAAATGGTGCCCCCAAGATCAAGGGATGGAGGCCAGGAACGGGCGCGGGTACGGCTGCTCCAAGGAAATAAGGGTGACTTCTTGAATAGGTGCCTTTTCACTGTGGCTAAGGGGCCTGGACAGGAGTCGAGACGAGCAAAGTGGGCCTCCACACAGGGCAGAGCAATGCCAGAAGCACGCATCTGGCGATTCCCGTGTGCTTCCCGCCTGACACCCCCGGAAGGAAACTAGAAGACTTCACGTCAGGGAACCCGGCACCTTCAGCCCCACCACTCACGCGCGCGGTTCGTCCTGGAATAGCTGGAGGGATGGTGCGGCCCCAGGGCAGGACCTGGCTGCCCGCCCCCCGCCCCCGTGAGTCTCTGCTGGGCGGCTCTGGCCCCTTCGGGAGTGGAGCAGCGGCGCAGAGCCGAGCGGGGGTGGAGGGCACGGAGGGCGGGTCCCCTGACCTCGCTGGAGGCGAGAGGGCGGATCGGATTTGGAGCCTGCGGGAGGCTTGGTCAGAAGTGGCCCCCTGTGCTTCGGGGGGCCTCCACCGAGGGGCCCGGCTTTGTGGAGGATTAGCGGTCACCGCCCCACCCCAGTACCTGCCTGTGCGTCGGTGGGTATCCAAGTGTGTCTGTGCGTGTCGGCGCTCCGACTCTGATGCTATTGAGTACGAGTGCACCCGTTTCCCTGAGCATATACAATTTTGTGTTTGTGTGGCCTTGTGACTTTCCAGGCTGCGAGTGTCTGTGCGTTGTGTGCACATCTGAAGACCTTCTTGTGCTTCTGTGTCATGCTTTTGCTTATCTTTGTATGTGTCCTTGTGTCTGTCACTATGAAGATGACTACGCCTTTGTGTGTATTTCGGCCCCTGTAGTGTGTTTAGTAGATTTTTCTCTATATATGTATCTCCGAGTTACCTTTGTGTTTCCGTTTGCCCCCAAGTTCCTGAATTGTTTTGTGTCGCCCAGAGGTTTTGTGCTGTGGCTTTGTGTTTTGTCTATTTCTCGGCGCCTTTGTGTGCCTGTATCCGGGAGCATGGGTTTGTGGATGTAGAGTTTTCTTCACACATCCTTAGTCCTCTTGTCTTTGCCCAGTGTGGGGAATCTTAGGCCTTGAGCTCCGAGGTTGGGCCTAGGCCTGGGTCTGGGCTGCCTTCTCTGGGTATCTGGGCCCTGGCGGATAGCTGCGGGAAGAAGCCGGGCTGGTAAGGTTCGGGCGTACAAAGCCGAGAGGCGCTGAATCGTGCGCGGGGCCGGCGGGTCGATCGGGCCGATCGGGAGCATTCTGCCCTCTGCTGGCCACAGTGTATCCTTGCAACCACTCCTGGGCACTGCCTGCAGGCAAAAGACTTAGTTCCAGGCCCGGACCTTCGCCATCTCGACTTCAGGCTGCAAGTATCTTCTCGGTGTCAAGCCCTAAAGACACACCCGGAGCTTAAACTCTCCGCGCAGTGTTCCACATCTATTCTCACCCTCCCATCTCCCCACGCTCCTTGTGCTTGGTCCTTTCTACCCCATCGCTCTTCTTTTGGCAGAATGGAGGCCCCTGTGGCCTGGCCTCTGAGGCTTCCTCTGAAGCTAGCATCTAGGTTCGTGTCTGGGCCTTTAACTGTATTTGCTGAGTATTTTGAAATGCTTGAAGCCAGGTCTCAACGCAGAGGGCACACCTGTAACCCCCATTTGGTGCATGACTGGTGTGTTTCCAGGGTGCAGAGGTTATTGGCTTCTCTCTCTGTGCCCCTGTCCAAGCCACAGCCTTGTTTTGGGGTCCCGACCTGGGGCGGGCTGCCAGAACTGTCCACGACTCCTTGGGTGGACAGCGAAACCAGGCTTCTGCCTTTAGTCTGATTGAGGATGCTGCGCCCACAACCTTGATCCCTCTTCCACTCCTTTTTCCTCCCATCCATTCTCCCCGACCTGTAGGCCTTGGTCCTTATCCTTTGTTCTCACTCCATCAACCTGAACTGACTATCACCGGTCCTTCTCACATAGCCGCGCGCGAAATCGTCCATGTGTCTCTGAAGCACCCTTAGGGTTCTTGGCTTCTTAGCCTCTAACTCTGCTGAAGAATAATACGACTGGACAGAAGGACACCGGCCTATTCTCAGAGCCCATGTCTCTCTGCCTCAAATTATTCCTGGCTCCGTGGAATCTCAGCCATCGCTCCTGTTCTGAGCCGTTGTCCCCCCCCCCCACCCGTGGCTCTGAGACTCACAAGACTGGCGGCAGGCAGCCAGCTGATCATCCCCGCGCGCCGTCCAACGCGGGATGCTTGCAGCCTCAGACGTCTGCGGCAGAATCCGCTCAGGACTGTTTCCACCTGAGCAAAGACCGAGGAGGCGGGCTGCCAGCACGGCTGAGCTTGCAAGAAACAAACGGAATCTGAGTTCTTCGTATTCCCAGAGGCGCGCAGCTTCTGAGTCCTGTCCTGAGGCTCCTGGCTGTTCTGGTTTAGGACCTCGCAACCATTTTTCGGTAGCGACCCGCCTTGTACGAGCGGGCGCGCGCAGGGCGTGGGGGTGGTAGTGGTTAGGGCTACACCAGTGAAACCCCAACCATTTCATGTTTCTGACCAGAGTCGGGAGAGAAGACCCTCCAGGTTTAGAACTACAGTCGCAGTCTTAGATCCCAGCAGGGATAAGCACCAGGTGCAGCTTTCCGCGGTGCACCAATAAGGAAAATATCAGAAGCATTGGGTTCTCTCACAAGGGCTGGGGCCATGGAGCCTAGACTCATCCCCACACTGCCCCCTCAGGTTAACCGAGCCTCAGGCCGCGCTGAATCAAAGCTGCCTCAAGCCATAGTCCAGGTCCGGGAGCTGCTCTGCTGAAGAAGCCACAGGCTCAGGAAGTGGAGTTCGGGCTATCTCAAGGCTCAGCAGAGGCTGAAGGCTAGCAGTTTTCAACTCCTGAGCGACTAGGCACATCTTTGAGCATCTCAGCTGGACTTAAACCAGGACACACGGGTCAAAGGATGGAACAATCACTTCCCACCGTCTAGTGAAAAGCATCTGGGGTCTGGTAGAAGCTTAGTTGGAGGTTCTCCAGACAGGAGAGACTGGGGAGGGACCCCTAGGGTGCGTCTCATTCTCCACTACTTTTGAGGCTGATGAGAGAGAGGTGCTGGGACTTGCGGGTGACCAGTGTGCACCAGAGCCGAAGACGAGCATTCACAGCCAAGTCCCTCATCCTTCCACCAACCTCCACTCTGGACATTAGTTCGGACTGTTAAGAAATCAGGCTCTCTCAGATCCAAAGGCTGCCAGCAGCCCTCGGGAAGGGCTCCAAGAGAAGGACGCGGCCCTCCAGGGACTGAGTGACCCAAAGCTCAGGTCTCCCATGGGCATTAGCAGCCAGGCAATGATTAATAAAGACGGAGAATGGCATATCACAGGAAGTACCCCAGATCTTGTCTCAAGGTCTGGTTAGGAAACATCAGGGTAGGAGACTTGCACCTCTGCAACTCAATATCCCTATCTGTGCAATGGGCATTTTAAAAAAGGCATTGATTTTACAGGGTTGCTGGGTGGGTGATGTGGACATGCTCTCGGTGCACCCTGCTCACTGTTGGGCTCTAGACTTACAATTTGATGAATAATTGCATGGGAGGGGGAACTGCTACTTGGATATAGGAGACTCTCCCCCTCCTCCTCTTTTTCTTCTTCCTCTAGAGCCTGAGGAAAAACAGACTTGTCTCAAATGCAGTCCTGTCTAGTGTCTTCCTTCCCTACCGGACAGGTGAAGTCGAGGTGCTGGCCACAGGAGATGCTGGGCACTGCCTGGGCATCCAGCGGACAGCTCAGCATTCTCCACTCATTTTTGCCATGAAACCTGGGGCTGAGAGCATCTAGCAGTTACAGTAAGAACTCTGGGATTTTGGTTTTTTTTTTTTTTTTTTGCCCATTGCATGGAAACCCCTCTTAGGGACTGGGATGTGTATGCATGTGTTATGTTTGCTTTTACCAAGCATCTTCCTTAAGAATTTCTGCATTTCTTGCCAAATAGATGGTTTCAGCATCCAGTCTTTAAGAAGGAGGGGCTCCCCAACCCAAGAAAGGAGCCAGAACAAAGAGAAGGTAAAGAACCATGTTTGGAGCCATAAAAGCCTCATTAGGATCTCAAGAATAACTCACAGAATTGAACACAAATTCACAAAAGTCAGTGAATTCATTGGTCTCCACCCTGAGGGTCTACGGCCTGGGAAGGGGGGTGCGTGGGTGTGAGCCAGGGCGGGTGCCTCTCCTATTTGATCTCTATCTTAAATCCACTTCAAAACGCTGCGGCTCAGCCGAATTGGAGGTTGGCCCCTTCCTGTAATTATTTGGTGTCTAGTAAAGTTTTTATGAGTGTCTGTGCAAATAAATGCATCTGATGATGTGCGGTTGTTTGGCTCTGCCACTTGCTCCATGTGATACAGGAGATGTGTGCATTGTGTGTTGGCCCTTGGAAAAGAAAAGGGCAAGGCACAAGCAAATAAAATAAAGCCAAGACCTCTGCATCCATCAAGCAGAGGGGTGGGCCCTGATCTGGTCCACTGCTGACCTGCCGATTTGCAATTTGCAGCTTGCTGATAGTGAGGCCTGCCCAAGGGCCCCAGAGAACCTGCAGATACAGTCTGAAGCTTTTGGGTGTGATCCGTAGGGTCATCAGGGTTGAGTGACAAGCTTGGTGACTGGCTAGTTTTTGGAAAGGCCTTTTTGGAAACAAAACAAGACTCTCCCATTCTTCACTCCACCCTCTGGGTTTTATGGCATCTGAGAAGTTACATTGTTGCTTCTGTGAGCTCAGTAGATCTGCCTTAGAGACAATGCTGGTCAGAGAGGCATGCTGACTGGTCAGTCCTCTTTGGAAAAAGCCTCTGGGCTATTCAGGGTGGGAAGCTAGCTAGGGTCCTGTCCTTGTTTGCACGACTTTTAAGCACAGTTGGAAGGTATTCTTTTCCTGTCTCTGGTGGGTTCCCTAGAGCCCATGCTAACTCTCTCTCCTCCCAGCCCTGCAGCCTTGATGTGTTTGCTTTGAACCGATTATAGAACTTTTATTGAACTATAATGTGCATATAGAAAAGTGTACAAAGCGTGAAATTATAAAGGGGACACTCCCATGCCACTAATCCTAGATTAAGACCAAGGATGCCTCTGGTTTCAAAAGCACTGCTTCCCTTCACCAGCTTGCTTTCCCTGGGCTCTACCTTCAGTTTGGCTGTGTTTGAACTTTATCTAAGTGATATCACATAGCACATCTTCCTTCCTGTACTTAATCATGAGGTTTTGCAGGAAAAGTTGGTTCTCTCTGCTGGATGATCAGGGACCTGGCAATTTGGGACTCTTATCCCTTCAGGGGGTTGGTTTTCTGGAGTTTGATCCACTCACATCACATCCTACCCATTCAAAACAGCCTTTTGGTTCCCACATTCTGCCAGAGGCATTTGTATTAGTAATCTTTCTATAAACCTAGAATTTCCCCTAAAGAACCATCCTGTACACTGGAGAAAAGCATCCACAATCTTCTTTTGTTTCAGCCCCTCCCTCCACATCTAGTACCCTCTAAGGAAGTCAGCACCTCAGAGAGGTGAAGTCGACTGTGTGAGGTCACACAGCCTTGAAAGGGTCAGATCCTGGACTCAAACCCCAATTGGCCTAACTCCAAACCCCAGGCTCTTGTCACCTCTCCACATGGCTCCCCTGGGCATCCAGGCCCAGGCGTGAACAGCCGTCTTCCAGCAGGGAGGAAGCTGGACATTTTCCAAAGGAAACGATGGGAAACAGAAAACCCCAAACAACAAACAGGGCAGGTTGGTTTCCCAGGCCCCAGCTGCCTAACCTTGGGTAGTACAAGTCTGATGGGGCTGGTTTGGTCTGGTCTGGCCCAGTCTCCCTAGATGCTGTGTGTCACCAGCGGGTGGCACCATGCTACTCACCGAGGAGCAGGCCAGCACCTCATTCTGAAAGTCAGCTAATTCCGATCCACCTCACAGATGAGGAAACTGAGTCACAGAGATGAGCAGGGTCTCACCTCAGCCCAGCAGTTATAGAGCCTGACCTGGGTTGCAGCTGCACCAAGGGCTGCTCTGTTCATCCCTGCCAGTCTCATCATGAACACATCTTGTCCTTGACTCTCTTATCTGATCTACTCTTGCTGAACTGCTATGCTTGAAGTATGGCCCTAAGATTTTGGAATCTGGGGCCTAGAGGGGGGCTGAGTAGAAAGAACCCTTGCTTGTCCTCCTGGCCTTTGTTCTCTTGTTTGGAAACCAAAAGTGATTTTACTACTTCACCTTACTGCTGGAGAGTTTAATAAGGAATGTCTGTGGTCATTTTGTTTGTATGTATGTGGACACGTGTTCATGGGAATGCATATCCATGCGTGTGCATATGCACACTGACCAAAGCTGATGTGGAGTATCTTAATCACTCTTCACTTTATCTCCTAAGGCTGAGACTCATGCTGAGCCTGAAGCTGTGGAGTCTGGCTCTGGTTGCTAACCATTTAGCTGCAGGAATTCCTGTTCCTGTCTCTTGAGTGCTGGGATTCCAGGCCACCTGCCTGGATTTTACATGGTTCTGAGATCCAAACTACTGTGCTACCCACCAGGCCCTCTGTGGTCTTTCTTTAGAATGCGCTCCTCCCGGTAGAGGAACCAAAGGCTGTGCAAAGGCCCTGAAGGCACCAGAGCCATGGGGTGCCTTGTGGCTGATAACATTGAGGCTCTGGGTTGCTGATGGGGAGGAACTGACTGCAAGGCCTGTAGGTCACAGCAAGGAGTGTGGACTTGCACTTGAGAGCAGATAGGAAGCCAGGAAAGGTTTCAACAGTCATGCCACGGTCAAGTGTGTTGCTTAGGACAATCTCTCTGGCCAAGTGACTAGGCACTGGGTTTCAATATTTCCTTTGTGTGCAACGAGGCTGGGCAGGTCACAGAACAGGCCTTATCCTCCAATTTCCCATAGAGGTTATATGTCCAAAGTCAGGGTTTCATGTTACACAGAGCTGTTCTTTCTGGAATGTGGGCCCCCAAGCAACCCCTGCCGGACCCTCCACAGAAGGAGGGGCTCCTGTGAGAACGTGATGCAGAAGGCTCAGCAGTGTCTGTCCCCACAGTTGAAGCAGTGTCTGTGCTGTCCTTGCTTTTAAGCACTGGGGGTGGCTCCAGACATCAGTGACCCTGTGTGCTAGCTGTCACGGTTGCCCAGTGAACCCACCAGGAAGGTGAGGCTCACAGGGTGAAGTGCCTTGCCCAAGGTCACTGCCTCCATGATAATGCTGCTGTGTACCAAGCAGCATTCAGTGTGTGTGTGTGTGTGTGTGTGTGTGTGTGTGTGTGCCTGCCTGGTGTGTCTTTGAGCTTGCTGAGATCTAGAAAGCCCTGTAACTGTTCCACAGTGTGTGGAAAAGCCAGAAAATTCCATTGCCCCACCTCTGCTCCAGCCCACACAATGTGCCCAGCAGAGTTCTCCTCCCTGGAAAAGCTTGGCAAGTCAGCCTTTTCTAAACCCAGGACAAGCCTCCAAGTACAGAAACCTTCGGATGGCCTCTTGCTGGCCTGGTCCCTGCCTCCCTCCCCTCTGCTCTCTGCAAGGCTCACCTTGCCAAGACTCTTGGCCTTATTTCAGCTCCTCAGACTTGGCCTGGCTGATCCCTCAGCCTGCATAGCTAGACTCCACCCTGTTTTTAGCTCACTCCTATGCACCTTTTGTGTGTCCCTGTAAATGTCACCTCCTCCGGGAAGCTGTGTTCTCACTGTCCTTGTCTCTCCTTCATTGTGTAAGTAGGTTATACGTCTTCCTCAACCTCTCTCTGTTCCTTTACAGCTTCAGGAATGATGGGGAAGGAATTGGGAGTGGATGAGCACTACATATTTTGGTCATTTGACAGATGGTCAGAAACAGTACACACTCCAAATGTCGCCCTGTCACAAACTACTCTAAAGTCAGCTCAAATAGTGTTCTTACTTCTGTCAGTTTCACCCCTAGTCCACAATGGGGAAACTGAGGCTCAGGCATGGGAAGGCACATGCCCACATACCACAGACAGTAGCTAGAAGACCTCAGATTAGAACCTGTGTCTCTCAGAGCCTGGGCTCATACTTTCTGCATCACGCTGAGGACATCTTTTTGACCTGCGTCTACTTTGACCCGCCAGAGAGGAAGCCCCCCCCCCCTGTAGGAAGCTCACTGTCCCAACAGTGTCCACCATTGTTGGCTGCTGGGCTGGGCTTCCTCTGCCTAGTGGCTGGCAGTCTCTCCCAGGAGGAAGACTGGCTCAGGGATGGGTGCCAGGTGTCTGGTGCCTCTTAAGGCAAACCTACCCACAGATACTTTGAAAGCAGAGGCATTTGGTAAGAGAAGTACTCCATAGCCACTTCATACCAAACAATAACATGATCTTGGGTAATACCAGAGGCCCTTAGCAGGACTCAGCTTTTGGTATGAAAAAGTAAATTTCAAAGCTTTTTTTTTTGATTGATTTATTCCCCCTCTCCCCACACCGTTTCTCAAGACAATTTCTATTTGTAGCCCTTGCTGTCCTGGAACTTGTTTTGTAGATCATGTTGACCTCAAACTCAGAGATCCACCTGCCTCTGCCTCTGCCTCTGAGCGCTGGACCTAAAGGTGTGCACCACCACCTTGTTGGGATTTTTGTTTTGTTTGTGTTTTTGAGACAGGGTTTTTGCTTTTCTGCTCTGGCTCTCCTGGAGCTTGATATGTAGACCTAGCTGGCCTTGAACTCACAGGGATCCTTCTGCCTCTGCATCACCATGCCTGGGCCCAAACCTTTTAATTTTGGTAAGCTTTTTGTTTATTTGTTTGTAGACAGAGTCTGGCTTTAGCTCTGGTTAGCCTGGTACTCAATACGTAGCCCAGGGTGGCCTTAAAGTTTCAGCAATCCTCCTACCTCAGCCTCTCAAGTGCTGGGAATAAAGACATGTATTGCCACTCCTAGCAACTTCTTTTGTATTACAAAAAAATTCAAATGTATATAAAAATAGAATAATATACTCATTACCTAGGTTCAACTATTACAGGTCACATGAAATCTTGTTCCACTTTATCCCACTCCAATTTCCCCATCCCAATGGATTTAAAATTATTTATTAATTTATTTTATGTGAAGATTCAACTGCACCACTAAAGCTAGATCTCCAGCCCCCTTCACACTGCCAGTGGATTTTAAAAGTGTATCTGTACATATGCATGATGCATATATGTGGGTATGTTTATGTGGATGTCAGAGGAAGCCTTGTCGAGTTCTTCTCACCTTTCGCCTATATGTGGGCTTCACAGATCAAACTGGGCTTGTATGGAAGGTGTCTTTCCTGCTGAGCCAGCTCACTGGCCCATCCACAAACAAAATATTTATTATTTCTTATGGATCATTTT